AGCTCGAAGTCGTGCTTTAATATGATTTCTTAGCAACAACGGAGGAAATTGAGTTTTTTAAGTGCATCTTCGATGCGGGAAGACTTCGAAGGAAGTACCTGATTTGTCTGTTTCGTTTCCCTTTGCTCTGCTTAAAATTTATTTTTCATACCTCTAACGAGATTTTCTGAGACACAATGGGAAATTTTCCTAACATTATCTTCTGTGTTCTTTTGAAAAACATCGTTACATTGCAAAAATAATAATTTCGTGACAGTTCAAATGCCACAGAATATTACAACATATAATATATATACTAATTTTAGAATTTTTAAAAGAGAATTATATTTTCCAAATAAATCCAAGTCACGGTGCCCTTATATGACCCAAGAGTTCACAAAACCATCGCAATAAAATCCTCGTCACAACCCACTCGACGTCTTTACGACCATTCCAGTGAACATAACCTACCTTTACGCGCCGTCATTTGCACTGTAACACACGAATCATAGAAACGAAACCTGTTGGAAGTCGGAGGAATAAATCGAACGAGAAGGACGGTTAGTTCAAACACAACTCGCGCTTCTTACGTAAGTGTACGTGCGACAGGATGGCCTGGTTTCGGAGGCTGGGTTAATTGCGCGCAATAAATTGTCTCTTCCCGTGTCTCCGGCCCGGTTTTACGCGCAATTCCCCTCAGACGGCCGGCCGGTTCCGTTCCATTTCGTTCCGTGCCGTTCCCATGTCCACAAAACATCCGGCCGCTCATTATGGCCGACCGCCGCCGCTAACGGCCCGCCACCGTGAGATTCAATTAAACTCTCTGACGCTCCAGTCCTCTTTACACGCGTTTCACATGCCGCGACACACGCGCGTTCCTCTTTTGACCTCGACCACGCTGCGGAATTTCGGTGACACTTCATTCTAGACGATCTAAGAGAAGAGGTATCTGTTCTCGCCGAAATTGGTGAATCGGTGGGTTTCCAAGGGAAGAGAAATCGATGGAAGTCAGTGTGGTGTAAATAACAAGTGTCACTATTCTTTATGGATTTTGGAATGCTATGGCAAAGCATGTTAATTTCTATTTGTCGAATTTTTAGTGTTTTTAGTTACAATGATATTTTATTTGAAGTGGTTATAAATACATAGAGTTGCAAGAGAAATTGTGTTCGTCAATTTTGTAAACTTTGCACGCACGTGGCTACATCATCCCTTCTAACCGTTACTTCGCCGGGATTAGACGACTTAGCCCGAAGAGACTTCGGGTCTGATCGTCACTCTCGCGTAAATAAGTCACTATCTTCACTTTAAACCAAATCTTAGTGATTAATTTTTCTCTTGTTATAATTACATTTTGTTGTTAGCACAGAAAGCTGTTTTTAATCAATAAAATAAATATCTTTATACGTGTGCTCGTAAAAATTGTAATTTTAGATCAAATATAATTTTCTAAATTTCTTTTGTCCGTCAGAAATATGTCCAATTATTACCTAAAAAAGTATACTTTTAATTTAAAAAATCACGTTAACGTTTCATCGTCGAAACTGGAACCAGCACAGAGCTTCGATCGAATTTAAAATTCCGTCACGGAGAATGCGACACAACGGACCAAGTAATTGAATCCAGTCCGCTATTTTTACGAACAACGGGCGTCTGTTAACGCGAACGATGCGAGGAATTCTTCACGAAAATACGATAGCATTCGAAAGAGAGAGAGAGAGGGAGAGAGAGAGAGAGAGAGAGAGAGAGAGCGAGAGCAGAGAAGTGGAACGCGAAAAATTTTTGCCGGCCACGACACCATTTCCATTTAATATCGTCCAAAAACCTCTGGAAATATGCGGGGAATTAATATCTGTAACGTGTGCCTTGGTTCGCTTCAAACGAAACGCTAAAAATGAATTTGAAAAAATGTAGTTACAACAAACTCTGGCTTAATGTGTTCGCAGCCTGGATTAGATAATTGGTTTTAGGTTACTTTGCACGTTATACCTGTCCAGTAATTCCAAGTAAAACGAATATCCTTCTGTCAGGATTGAATTACATTTTTTTTTTTTAATAAAAAGTTTGAACGTGAATTGCGTGAGAAAGAATTACACAGTGTAATATAGTTGCAGAAATAGTCGTTATTCTTGCCATCCACTGACTGATAGTAATATTTCCACGTTGAAATATGAAATACTTCAACTAATTTCAATATAGCCGTCGGCACATGTCTCTCGCCGAATTGCATAGTTTCAATGTTTCTGGTAAGAGCCATTGATGGAGCCGAATTCTCGTCACGGTTTACGCTGCAAGTTCGGGTTTTCACCCCGAGACGAATATTCCACGTATCCGACTTTTAATTATTTTTATGAGTCTACCATCGGTTGGGTGCTGAATCATTGAGGTTGTTTTCAGTGCAATCTCGTTATTAAATATATAAAAATTGATATGTTAAGTTACATCGCTATGATGATGATAATAAAAGAAAATTAAAAATATTCGATATCCATGTATATGTAATCATCGAATTTTAATACTATCAATTATTTAAGGAACGTATATAAAATTGTAGGTTATGTTCGCTTTGCAAATCATTTCCAGAATAAATTACACTTTTCATTCGTACAATATTAAACACATTCATAACCCTTAGACACGCTGTGACCCCTAATAACATCAACCACTACACAAACACAAAATCCACAATTCATATTTCCCAATTAGCCGCTGCCCTGTCCAGCGAAACGTTCTCTTTGCAAGATCTGCCGAAACAGTGATCGACACGTAGCCCTCTATCGTCCATTCGTCCAATTACGAGGGCTACGGTAATTGAAGCTATGAACCAGTACCAGGTCTGAATTCGTGACGCGTGTAAGTGCTTCGAGCAGAGACGAGAGCAGTTTGAGCCACGCGGAACGCTTCGAATCTTGCGATATTGCATTTTGCACGCTCGATCGATCCTTCCGCTATTAATTGCTCATTGTTGAACTGAAACTTTGGGATACGGTTGATTTGACATTCAGTGGTTTCAAGTTTCACCTTGATAACCGTGGGTAATTGTACTTTGACAGGTTAGAAAAGTGATTTAATGGTATTGGAATTTTTCATTCCTTTATACATATATTTTTGTAAGGTTAGAAAAAATGTCATTTTTTTTTCATTTTTGCAAGATTCAGTTAAATTATATACCTATTCGCTTTTAAATAATCCTTCTAAATTAACTGTCTGTACAAAAATTGCAGTACAGAAATTCATTTCGATTCTAATAATTAAAATAATGTTAACAAACTTGTAGCCAAGAATAATTGTTTACAGAATATCTGATGTGTATAATATTCTGTTTGAAAAAAAAAAGTCGTTATTACATACTTTTCACTTCATCGGTATCTTTATAAAATCTTAATAGAACGATACAGCACGAGACTGCGCTGATTATTTACAAACTGATATTCCTACCAACTTCAAGGTCATAAATATTCATGCTGCGTCTGTATAGATAAATGTTCCCGGGGCGCAGTATGATAAATAATGGCGCGATGAGTGAAAAGTGCGAGCAGAAAATTCCTAGGGAGAAAGTCTACCGCGATTGCATCGCTTTTTCCAAGAAATAAAGATTGCCTGTTGCGGACACTGCAGCGTGCCATTTCGATGCGATCGTAAATATCGAAAGCGTTATTGTGCGCCGTCGCTTCTTGTTCGCGGTCGACGTCTCGATGAAAGCGACGAGGAAACACACGAATTAACGTTCCATTGTATTTTATTCCTTTATTTATGTATATTTAGACTTTGAATATTTTACAACTTATCATTGGAAATCACTGTGAATTCTCGATATTCTGTTATTATATATATTCGTGTAATTTAATGTTAGGTTTTTATGAAACTGTCTTATTATTGTAACCGGCTTCTGTACAGTGCCCTACAATTCTCATGCTTGTCTCTTTTTCCTTTGCACAATATTGACGTTATAATAATAATAATTTAGTACTTTACGCTGATGTTTTAAGATAATTTATATTGTGCAGTTTTTTTGGTTCATTATTTCCCCAATGTATCCAAGATTAACCTCCGATGCGCATGTGATGTTTTGGTTTCCAACAGAGTGACCCCCCGACTCTTGTGCTACATCGAAGTTCAATTTCCACAGATGGGAATACACGTCGAAGGAAATTTATTATTCTTGTTAGACACTATTCCCATAAATCGATACGAGAAATACTTGCAATTGACTTAAGGGAATTTATATACGTCAGCAAATGTAAAATGTACATGTATGTACGTCTTTCTTAATCAAAATATTCTCAATCTTTCTAATTATAATAATATATACATTTCTTATTAAAATCGAAAGCAAAAAATTATGGATAACCTTCTTTTTCAAATAGACATATTTCATAAATGTATATATTTGAAACACTCTGTATATCTTAGCAAATGCTATTTCCCATTTATAATAATAAATACATACATTCCTTAATTAATTTATAAAACAAAAAGTATATTGTATAAAAAAGTTGCACATAACCTAGAAAAACCTAGCAGAATATGAGAGATTCGTGGCACAATTTTGCGGATACGTTTAACCATAAATATTCGAAAAATGGGACTGGTATTTTTTTTAGTATGAGCAATATTTCATTCGCAGCATCCGGATCCGGGTCGGTTATAGGAAGGGATCCGCTTCCGCCGAGGGCTGTCAGCACTTCGCAGTTAGCTCAGAGAACGCAAACACAACCGCCAGCTACAGTGTCCACCCTTCCACTGCCAAAGGGGCAAAGACAACCTTTGCCCCTTCACCAATCCACCCCCCAATCGGTCAGGCTATCGGAGAACGACATGACGAACGCGCAGCTACTGCGCGCAGCCAGCAGTGGAGACGTTGGAAATGGCCCTGTCATGTAAGTATTAATATCAACGTTTCGTTTCTTCATATTTACTTTCATCTGTTTATTTTTTATTTAACGTTTTTATTACGTGTTTCACATTGTGTTTCATCATTTTATAAACTAAGGCAGTATTTCCATTGTATTTAAACAGTTTTCTTTTTTTTTTCTCGAGTTCTTTTTATAACACCACCGTAATTATTCCTCCTTCGCACTTTAATATCCCAAATGAATTTTCATCAGACGGGCAAAACGGCTGAGAGTGAAAGATACGGGAATTTTCGTTAAAATTCCCAATGATAACATTCCATCCACCGCTGGCTGAAGTTTAAAGTCACTTGTAAACTTTCCAACGACACGTTTTATCCTCTGCAAACTGAGGAATAATGGAACTTTGCTAGGTTTTCCTCCTTGGAAAATTTCAAAAAATCTGTAATTCATGAATAAAAGATTGACGATTATCCACAAGAAGTTCAAACACCTATTCCCATCGTAAAAAGCAAAAGAAAACAAAACTGCGAAATCGCTTAAGAGCCGGATAAGTGATAAAAGTGGTTCGTTAAAACCGAAACGTTGAGAAATTGGAAGAAATTGAACGTAGGTTTTAAAACGTGACCTCCGTTATTTCCAGTTAAATGCGTTCGAATAAAAAAGTAACCATACCGTTAATATTTTAATATTATACAGTCGAATGATCTTTTGATCAAATGAAAATTAATTCGGTGCTTGTTTGTCAAAAAGTCTCGAAGACCTTATCGGCTCAAAATCGCCATATTTTTTCAGAGAGGGGAATTCGTCAGTTGCCCCCAATAAATGGAAAAAAGTCGTTCAAAATAATGGAGATCATTTTGAACGTTAAAATTGTGTTTGATTCTTTTTGTAAATCGACATTTAAATTTGTGAAAAAAGGCATCGAATTAAAATTTGTACATCTATTAAAATCCCCGTCAAAAAATTGTAAAAATTATTCTTTGGAGGTTAAGTAGGAAAGATGGTAGGTAGATAGAGCACGGTTATTACGTCCTCATGTCGTCAGAGAAAATGTCTTTGAAACATTTCCGCGAGCGTAGTTAGAAAAGTCCGGCGTGAAAAGTACTTAAGATCGAGAAGTTTGAGCGCTCCTAACGCAAAGCGCCAACTCGGCATTGGAATTCCCCCGGTGACACATTTTTCTCGACTGTTTCACGCTGTGGATACATAAGGAGAGCAGCAGCACGGCTGCGCAACTAGCATGCGCACACGAACGCCGTCAGCACTTCTCTTCTTCCCTACTGATAACTATTCCGCACATTCGTCCTGGGAATATTTTTCTATAGTTGAAAAATTGTACGATGGGGTTACGTTTTCAACTTACATGGTGGCATTTACGATATAAACGGACAAAATGTTTTAAATAAAAAATACTGTCTCACTTATGATGTTGAATATTGAAATTATTTCCACTGGTATTGAATGTAAGGAAAAATAACTAAGTAACAGGATTCATATAGTTTCAAGATGGAAACAAAAAAGCCTCAAGGTCATTCCAAGGACATTTTTTGCACATTAACATAGACAGCACTGAGAGGAATTCAACGGCTTCAAAGTGACTTTAAACGGTAAGGAAAAGTCAATGACCTTGCAATGACCTTGAAGATAACTTTAGACGAAACATTTCTCGAGGAAACCGTATATAACTCTTCTTAGTTTTTTCTTCTTACTATCGATACCGTTGGAAATTAATTATTTTTATGTAATAATAAAAAATATTGAAAGATATTCTGTATCGAGTGTCTGTAAAAAATAGTTTATGAAAATTAAAATTGAAATGAAAAAAGAAAGGATGGAATGAAACTGTGTTATGGTACTATTTAATATATTAGCGCGTGTTACCTTCAATTAAGTAATTTAATTATAGATAGCATTTCTACTGGCCTCTGTTCTTAATTTTTTTATCTTCGCTACTAATCTTACGCTTCGTTATATTACCGTCACTGAATAACTATTAGCCGGCTACACAGAGCACACCTACACGGAATGTATAATGTACGAAGTTAAAGTGAATTATGAATGGAACGCGAGATAAATCGAAGAAAAAATTACCATTAAAGTCAAGAATTTCGTTCCTTTATATAAATATCTAACAGATAGACGTATCTCTAGAGATAAATGTAAAGGAAACCTCTTCGTAATTAATGAGAATTGCATAAGATACGGGAAGGACAATGAACGATGTACCGGGTGTCTCACCTGTAACGAACACTTAATTTATTTACACCGATATCGAAGACGAGTTCAACGACCTGTGACATCGTGACTTTGAACAATGTAAAAATAACGAAACGAGGCAGAAATAAGCTTATTTATGCGAAACATATCGGTGACCTTGGGAGGACATCTTTTTTTTGTTTCATAGCAGTGGAAATATAATGTAGATGTTCATATGTAAATAAGACATTTTATATAATGTGGTATCCGTTTAACATTAAAATTGCAGATTGAACAACGGCGATGGTAAGGACTTGAGGTTAATATCACCTAGCGGCCATTCCACTCAACGATTGATGAATCCAGCTGGAGCCTTAAGGGTCGTTTCGTTGAACGACCATCGAGTATCCAGCCCTAGCGATAGCGACATACGAGTTCACAGTCCGAGTAAGTGAATATATGTATATTGTATGTGTATAATATTTTCCAAATGTTACTTTCTTTTATTATCGAAACCTAACCTAACCTAACCTAACCTCGAATCTGTAATTTACCTAGAAGGAAGAATGTATTTGAAGATAATAAGAATTATCTTAATAAATGTATCATTTTAATATATTTTAATAAATAAAAAATAACTGATTGTTTATTTGAAAAATTTAAAAAAATATTCAAACACATTTAGTCAGAATTCATACAATTATTAATCTCACATGAATCTTCTCTTTTGAACTTTACATTAAGACTCTTCTATTCATTTCAACATTAAAACCTCTCTAATCCCACTTCACTTTCCTTTCCACTCTCTCAGATCACTCATTATTCTGTAATTCTCAGTACAAACACACCGGAATTCTAATCCAGCTTAAAACTGCGCACACCATCGTGCCAGCATTTCTTCGTTCAAACGTAAATACCCGTCGAATATCTCGAATGCCACCCAAACACTTGTCACGGCCAACGCAACATTCGCAATGTTCGTTCACTCCCCTCCACAGAGTAAATTTGTTCTCTCTCCGCTCTCCGATCATCTCCCGATTCTACGAATGTCGTTCGACGTTAAATTACGCTCGGAGAACCTTTTGGAATGTTGTCTCACTGATCGTTGTTCGATGATTCAAAGCGACGGAAGAAAAGCAACCGGTAAAGAAGGGGTTATTAAACCGACGCGATGAATCGCAGCTTCGAAGAATTAATATCGAAGAGCCGAGCAGAGAGTTTGCGAACTCTGTGAAAAGCACACGAATTCGAAGCTTCGAAGTTGGCCGTACTGTTCGGATTAATTATTCAGACATCCACGGGGAGCGCTGGCGTACAAAGCGACGCGAGGAATAATAGAAATCCCGCGTGCATTCAGCCGGCGTCTCGACTGTCGTATCGGTAACTTCATTTGATGCCTTGTGGCTTGAAAACGTTTACATGGCAAATTAGAAAAATTGATGATTAGTAGCTGGCTTACTCTGTGCACGTCTCCTGGGAAATGAGTTAAAATTTCTCGTTTTATTGTCATATTTTTGTCGTGTAAGTTAGTCGAGTTTTATCTCGACTAACTGTTTCAGAGAATTTATAGGTTAACGGAGATCGTTCGTAAGTTTTCATTGAAATTATTAAACTAACTTTTAAAATGTTATTTATTGTTTTATGTTTTGAACAATCTAAACGGCTTTTTCTAAAAAAAAATTTATTCAACAACTAAGCTAAGCACACATTCGTTAATAAAAAGCAATAGTAATAAGTACCCCTGTTTATTTCACACACATATACGCACGTTTCATGTGGAGTACTTAACGTAATATCACGGAATACATTATCAAACAAAAACATTAGTTAGTGGCAGATGCACGAGTCTGAATGGCGGTTAAGCGATATCGAGCCAATATTTGCTCCATACCAGATTCTTGTCTGGGTCAGTGCTGTGAATATTAAGTGCTGCTTTCTGCATTTCTATCCGGCTCGGTTCCAGAATCATGTGAACTGCGCTATTTCCCGTTCGATTAAAAAGAAAGTCGACGCGATCTCTTATCGCTGGTATTTCCACGATACATACCGTACATACACATGCGAGATATTTCCTTGGTGGAAAATTCGCGAACGAAATGTTGATTCTGGATAAAGATGGCTGCCATACGATGGAACATTGTTTGTAGAACTCGATTGAAAATGATAGGTTCGGAGATGGAAGATTTTCATTTTACACAGGGTGTTCGTGAAAAAATAAAATACAGCGAAATATACATTTCTACTTAACGTTTTTCTTTTCTCTTTAATTTCTCATAAACCTAACCTCTTTCAAATCGAAAAATCTTCCAATATTCTACTTTGACTAATAGAACAGCTATAGAAAGATTCTAAACTGTATGCTCCTATACTGAATAAAAAAAATCCTCGTTTGCATACGCATTCTCGAAACGTGATCATTCGCTGATTTGTTCGCAGTTGAAAGGAAAATGGTGAGCCCGATCGGCCGGGAGGTGGACCGCGGTGGGGGCACGACCGCGAGGCAGAGTCAGCGTGCATGGGAGTGCAACGAGTTGCTGCATAAAAGGGTGAGTGAAAGACAGTTTGGCGCAAGGGAAACCTTCGCGTTGATTGGCATGGCGAAGCATGGAAAGAGAAAGGAATCTAACGTGTAACGACTCGGCTTCAGCTGATTAGCCGCTTTTTTCTCACACTCCCCCTCCCTCCCACCTTACTTCTTAGGCTCCGTGCACACTAGTGAATTTAATTTTTTTTTTATTTTGCATTATATGTTGATAAAAATATCAGCAACGGGTAAGTGAGAATTTTGTAATGAAAATGAACTTAAATACGAGCACAATCGGACTTTTTTCAGACTATTCCAGCTTGATTCCAAAACTGAAATACACCCGGCATAACGTTTTGTGCAAGAAACAATCCGAATATGGTCGTGTTTGGGCTCTTTTTAATCAGGAAAACCTCACCTATTCGAATTTGTAAAAAAATATTCGTCTATCAATGAGTAGAATGACACCCTGTCCAAAGTGATAACGATAATCGTAGCAGAATCGTATCGCCCGGTGTGCACCGAGCCTTAAGCCCGTTTCTTTACGTTTCACTTGTGTATACTTACACACCATTAGTGTCATGCGACAAGCAAAGCACGCTTGCACGTATACGATGGTTGTTCAGAACTCTGTGGTCCGCGAGTGTGCAGTAGTCCGCATTATCGTCCCAGCATGTAAATTCCATTAGTTCAATTAATTAAAACGTTGCCCCGGGCGGGCTGTGCCAATGGAATTAATTGCAAGCGCGGGGATTCTCGCGAGTGGCGAGAATGCTCAAGACGATTGACGAGTTCCCTCGTTACCGTGTGCAATTTGGAGGCTGGTCGCGAAAAAGGCGACTGGAAAGCTCGTTTACACTCGATGGTGTTCCACTGGTTATCGTTAGTAGTTGCGACACATGGCCGCCGAAGTTTCGAAAAAGCTACATGGTTGATTGTTGTGTAGTAATATGAATGAATTCAGTGAATACGTCGAATGTAAGTTTATTTTATGATTATTCTGGTAGGTCTGAGGGAAATCGAAAGTTTCTGGAATTTGAATTTCCCGCGCTAACTACACTTAATTTGACATCTAGCAAAGTACAATAATAAAATTGTGTACCTTTTTATAATGAAAATTAATAGTCATTATTGTATATTTTATGGCATATTTTAAAGAGGTTAGGGTTACTGTGAGCACTTTTTCAAAAACTTCTAGTAACTTTTGTGTATTACCTCATACTTTAGTGTAGATAAAAGCAGTCCGGAAATTCACTTAAAGTTGTCCGCGGAGGTGGAAAACGTTGAATGTATTTGCGGTTTAGAGCGACAAGTTATCAAATTATAGCATTACATTCGCCGTGTTAGCGTCTAAGTTTCACTTTACACGTGGCTGCGGTTTGTCACGTTAGTGCCTTCGGTTAGTCCACGAAAGGCGAGAAATGTAGATCGATGGTGGATAGATTCTGTAGTTGGTTACAGTTTCTCCTCGTTTCTTCATTGATCGAATAAGAAGTGTGCTTTGAACAGGTTTATTACGAGATAGTTCAAAAATCGTAGCAGTCGACAAATGTTGTAATTTAATTATCATAAAGGCGTAATTAGACATATTATCAGCATATGTATACCTCCAATGGTCGATAATTTTCAGGAATCAGTCTTGTTAGGTTAGGTTAGATTTCTATTCACGATGCAAATGTTTGTCAATTTACGAGGTCCTGGAGAAGCTTGAGAAATGTTTGGAATTGAAGCAATTAGAGGTTCAAGTTAAAAGGTGAAAGCTGATTTAGTCAAACATTCTAGACGACCTTCGGTAAACCTAACCGTAAACCTAAACTTCCGAATAGCTTTCGAAGGGACACATCCTTCTACGACTCTTCCACTCGACGTCAAGTGAATCGTATCAAATTACCGCTCGAGGGCGCTGCAACGCAGAATTATTTAGTCTGTGGTCTTCTTCGTTCACTTCGACTTCGGTAACGTTCAAAATACAGAAACATTATTTCTTTATTTCAATATTTCTTCGATTGAAAATTGCAAGTGAAAACATTCGTACCGACGGCTACGGAAACATAACCATGCATACGATTTTTCTCTAAATTTCACTGAACTACATAGAAGACTTACAAATACGAGAGAGAAATATTTTCACACGTTTCATCAGAATGTTAATTAAACAACAATATATTTTTGTATTCAATAACGATCTCATTTCAATAAGACGAATATCCGTCGATATTTATTCTTCCACGGTTCGAAATTCCCATTCAAAACGCTATCACGTGTCAGAAATTCGAGCAACGGCTGAAAAAGCGTAATCGAGTAAATCTGGCGAGTCAGAAGCACGAGTCAGCCGGTTCGATTCGTCTAGAGAAAGCGTTTGAAACTGACTAGCCCGAGGGGAGCGATATCCATAATGGAAGAGGACAAGCGGCACGCCCGAAGGAAGGAACCGCTGACTGAAAGCTATTGAAACCGGCGCGCGTACTCCCTTTGCCGCGAGGAATCCAAAACGTTGCAATTGGCTGGCCGGTTCGGTGTCCGACGGCGAAGCGAGCCGGACGATTCAACCGCGTTTGTTTGAAGCTGAGTTTCCAGGCATTTTCATTAGCGCGAGCTGCTTGTCGCAGAAATTCATTAGCATACGCGCGGGACATCGGGTTGTTGCATCGCGTCTTCTGCCAGTGTGCCCGTGTGCAACACGGCGCTCTCGCCAGTGGAAATTTCATCGGTTGCAATTAATACCGTGCGCTTGACATAATTGTGTTCTAAGACGATCGCGATTGCTGTGTCGTGCACGGTGTTGAAAATCGGCTTCGGATACTTGGAGAGGTTAGGTGTATTTAGAGGTTAGAAAGATTTCTGCTTTTCTGACGATATGAGTACAGTAGTGCACACATAAGCGTCCGCATTTTTGCACACTTAAGCGTCCGTCGCTATCCCCACCAATTTCTTGGAAATGGGACTTCGGAGTGGAGTCCGAGCGTGCCGAGTGAAACAAAGTAATTCGATATCGACTCCAGAATGTAAACAACTGACACTTGATATTCGGTCCCGACTGCGGGCGCTTATGTGTGCACTACTGTATTTATAATTGAACGTTGTATTCTGTTGTTAGTGAAATATTGGAAAGCTTAGATTGAATTTACAAGTTTCTTTTATTCTTTAATTTTTCCTTAAAACTGGCCAAGGTTTGTACTTCAAAAAAATAATTTTTTAAAGAAAACAGTGAGTAAATTGAACAAATTAATGTGAATGTAAAGAAAGCACCTAAATGTAAAGAAAGATTCAAATATTTCTGCACAGATTAGGTGGGTGTTTTTGATGATAGAAGTATCATGCACTTCATTTTAACTTTTCAACCACAATTTCTTCTATCAATCGGACCACTTTGCAAATGATCCACCCGAATCGACGTAATTCGAGCCTCGTCACTAACTTATGTCATGCGATCGAAAGGTAATTTCCGTGATTACAGTTCTCTAGTGCAGCACAAGGGTTCCCTTTATCCCTCGGTACTTACCATACGACTCCGTTCTCCTAGAACCGGGTCCTTTGAAATCCTACCATAGCAATAATAATGCTGTAAATTCGACGTAAGGTAACGCAACTCGTTCGAACGAGCGTAACGCTTTACTATTCGTACGTAACACCCTCGTAAAGCGTCGTCCTATTTGCAGAAAGCGAACCTTCACGATTCCACGAACTTCCCCCGTGGGAGAGGTTGGACGGCCATGTTTGTTGAAGCTTCGAAATAGTCTTCTACATTCGCAGCCATGTTCGTTGTACCGGAACTTGCCACTTTACAATTCTACCCAACTTCAGTGTTTAGCATTATGTAACTGGTTGTTTGAAATTCGTTCGAAACACGTCGTTTCGTCACTAGCTCTCTTTTCAGCAGCCTTTGTTCTTGGACGTGTCAAATTCTCTTACGACGGGGGGTGAGAAGTTGGTTCAACTGTTACAGTAAACATTTATGCAGTCAAGTTGGTTGGTTCCTCGACTTTTGTTGGAATTTCTAGGGTTTGTTTTGAAGTCTCTAATTGTTTGAGAAAACTGAACATGATGGCGGACTTGGTGCACTTACGGTGAAGGAAAGTGAAGAGTGAGAGAAACGAAAGAACAATTTTCGAACCTATAGATTTTTTGTTTATTTTTAAACAAAGAAAAACGAAGAAATTGTTGCAATTGCTGATTCTACCAATTTTCATAGTTCCGAAAATTTAAATTATATTATATTCTTTGTCACATAAAATACATAAAAAAAACCATAATTATTTTTTCTTAAAAAAATTCATAAAATATCAACACGATATCCACCAACACTTGAAAGAAATTCCAGGATAATCCTCTTGAGTCGTCTCTTTATCTGGATGCTGCAGGATACACTCTAGCGAGAAAGTAACGACACGAGTGTCTCCCCCTATCGTTACCTACATATACAGACTTAGACTGAACAAGAAGGGAGACAGAACGATTGAAAAAAGACACGCGAAGCTCTCCAGCAAACGGTCGAAGAGAAAAAAAAAAGAAGAAAAGTACGAAGAAGAGAGCTGGTCAAAGGGGGGCGGGATTAAGAAAACCGAGGGCCAGGGTCGATCCTGCATACGGTCAGCAATGGTCAGCAAGGGCACCGTGCCAGGGAACTGCAGACGGACCTTAAGCCGCCTCCACAATGAAGCGTCACCTCGCCTTGAACAATGTGTTGGGACAAGTATTATACTGTTCGTTAACCACTTCAGCCAAGAGTTTCTTTGTTTCGATCCTTGCTTTCTGATCAATACAATGGAGAGAAGAGGTTTGAAAGTAACGTTTCAGCTTAATTAAGTCTCTACTTCGAAGTGTCCGGGGGCTTTTGATACTTGGACCATTGTTAATTCGAGAGGTAATATATTATGCCAAACGACTGTAAGTGCATTAAAGTTTGTCTGTACGTTCGGAATGATGAATGATGTTCGCTGGAGCATTGGGCCAAGTTCGTTAACATTTTAGCGTCTTGGGTAGAAACGATATTAGAATTATTTTAATATGTCAGGTATTCGAACAAATTTTATATTCATTTTTTAGAAAATCGGAAACCCATTTTATCTTAAATTTATCCACTGTTATTTTCTATCTTCTCATGCCATCTTTCAGACAAGTTGTAAATTCCACTTCAAAGAGATGCTTTATCTTTTGCGAGCATTAACCTGTTTTTGTGTCCCGTTTACTGTTTCGAGAAGTAGGTACATCTATTATATAGTACTGTGTTTTTAGTCGATTCAGCAGTGCGAGACCTGACGATGTTATAAAGCAACTAGATTCGATGATTTCCTTCGTTTGTAAATCAGTGCTTTAGTTCCAATTGTTCTATACTTATCGTAGCGAACAATAAATGTCTAATTTGAGGTTAAAATCGATCAAATTAAATTAAATTAAATTGTATTGTATTTCTATTTGAACAAACGAGACTGTAATTGTTTATTCAAATAGTTTTACCGACGGAAATGGAAGAAAAGAAAGCTCGATATCCCTCTAACGGAAGTTTTTACAGGTTGCCAGTAAAAGTAGGAGAAATAAGATCGTTCCGAGGATACTCGAAAACGACGATAGCAGCCATGGACGATTCTTTGGACTTTATAAGCCTCGAAAGTCCGTACCGGGAACCTGAAAAGTCTCAAAACACTCGAAAGTCTTAATCTCGATAGTCCCGAAGGTTTGAAACTCGAGGAGCTTTCGGGAAGAATCGAAAATCTCGGTTGCCTTGAAACGGTTCACACTACACAGCGCGCGCGCGTGTGTGCGTGATCGTAGTGGAAGTTGAAGCGCCTTCGCGCGCTTTGAGAGCGAAGTGAAATGCGAATACCTCGTACAAAATGAAAAATATGCGAGGAGAATGCAGAGGAAAGACAAGCCCACAAACAATAGCGGCTAAAGACGCTGTTCAGAATAATTGGAATTTATTCAGGTACGCGTGAGCATTAATAAGACACACGGTACATTAAACAATTTAACACCTCTTGTTGTTGTTTAGGTTAGGTCATATTGTGTTAGGTTTACATGGCTGACATTTGACTGTACCCCTCACTCTGTCAATTTAACGCAATGTACACAGAAAGCCACTGAAATCTTCATTCCCAAAACATCCATTATTTAGAATTAATCAATTTTCTCCTGAAACATATTTCTCACCAGAAATATTCTGACGTTAATAAACAATGTTTCTCATGTCTCTATTATAATGTTTCACATTTACATCACTCCATGTTAAACACAGTGTTCAGTAATAACGATCACCTAATTATTTCAAGCAGTTTACACACCACCGTTTCTAACCTGTTCCAGTATAACAAGCAATAAGTTCAACCTTATAATCTGACAACAACAATCTTCGTAACTTTACCTCAGAATAAATAAATAAATAAACTGTCATTAGTATCACAGAAAGGAGTCGGTATTTAACCGTCATTACATTATAATCAGATCTCAGTTACAAAGGCCGCCTTAACGTCGGAACATTGTAGGCTCGCGTGGTCGAGGCGAAGCCCAGCCAGATCACGTTACAAAACATACAAAACGATAGGGCCTCGACAAGCCGAGCAAGGAACCACGGTGCATGCCGGGTACTGTAGGAGTCGGTGAACAGGCGAGCCGATCAGACCGGGCATGACGCCAGTCTTCCAAAGTCTTCCTTCCACCTTCGTGACGCTCGCTGCTTGCTCTCCATTGTGCTCGTTCGTTTCGTGTATTCTAACGCGTCTCGATACGACGGGACTCACTCGACGTACTTCCATCCTCGTTTGTTTCTAACCTCCAATTCTCCAAGATTATTCGTGTAACAGAGGGATTCACGTCGATGGAACCTCCTGCGACCAGGACCTCTTGAAACAGGTACTCGAAACGAAGGAGGATATCCGAGTAGTTTATATCTATACTTCGTGCATCGATTTTAATGGAGATGAGGAGATTCTATAACTTTCCGACGGATTTGTGTGCGTATGAAGAATGTTTTAGTGTAGTGTGACTTGGTGTTGGTGATTTCGAGTGCGTATGGGTGCTGTAGAAGGTCAAAGTTCGGCCTCTTGTGGAATTTTGTTTTTAGATTTATGGTTAATATTTAGCCTCTTGAAGTTATTTTTGGTGTGTTCTGTTGTTGTTTATTAGAATGTATTGCGAAGTACAGGGGTTGGATTATACTTTGAAGAATTTAGGTTATATTCTGGTAGTTGTTAAATTATTTTCTTTTAATAAGCAGTAGTTAATGAACTGTAGATCAGTGATTTATTATTGTACGTACACTACAACAAGAACTATAAATCTTGATTAATAATTATTGTATGTATAGCTGGTAAATATTCGTGCAACAAATATGTGCATAAGCTACCACACGTCTTAGAAAGTAGATTTTGATAAATCCTTGAAGTTTAGGTTCGCTCCTACTATTTCAGCATCGTTGATTTTATTATTTATTATACTGATTTTTGCATCCAGCATTCAATCAACAGAGAATATATACCTACTCATGTTCAGTTTTTTTTTAATGAATTTTTTTAATACTCTTTTCATTCTGTCCATGCCAATCATATTGAAACGCTTATTATCCACGCATCAACGTAAACGCGAAATGGCAATTTTCTATTTGGCGTTTACATGGTGAAATAATTCGGTGTCAAAGTTAACCAAAAAGTATCGTACAACGCACAAAATCACGAATAGTTGTATTTTTTAATTTTTGAATATCACGTAGTGTATACATAATTCATCATGACACACGTCTACATCTCGTGCACTCATTTCTCACCTCAAAGTCGAGCTTCGAGCGCGAATCACATTCGTTCCATTTTCAAATTTTCTATCATTTTATTTAACTGTCAGTTGCAGAGGTGTGCGAATTGTTACCTTTAATCAAATATTTTCCTATGTTTAATCATTTCTTTTAGAAGTATGTAGACTTGTATGTAGTCTAAAGAAAACAGTTATAATGGAACGTTTTCATAACCCTTTATGACGTCATGTAACTTAAAGTGTGTTTACATTCTATTTATAACAATTAATTCTCATTTTTTCTACTAGAATGAAAAATAAGTGAAGAAAATTATAGTAATAGAGGGGTTAACCACTTTATCAACAGATGGCGCCATTTGACAATGTCAAACTGAAGGCTACTTTCCATTATGGCTGACGCGTCAAATTCAAAATCAACACATATTATTACTATTTTTATTATAACCATTTTTATTACATTCCTGCATGTTTTCATTGTATCTCTAAAAGACGAAAAAAAAAAGATTAAGCTTCCGCTAAGAAAAAGTACATGAAAATTAATTTGAGCGTAATAATTTGCACATCGTATAAAATCAAATGTTCTCATTTTCACATTACACCGTCATATTACGTTTTCTCACGTACATCGAGAAAAAAACAGTCAGTATCGAAATCGCATCTAAAAGTCCAGGTTGATGCACATAGAGTGTGTACATAGAGTGTAGCGTTTTCAGAGCTCGATCGATCTCGACCCCGCGTCTTGAATCGGGCTATGAGGGAGCGGCGAGAGACTCGTGTATCGCGTTCACACCGAATTGTTCGCCAGTCAGGCAGGCAGAAGTCTCGCCGCACGATTGCGATAGAGACGTGGAGGGGGGTGGCCGTGTGCGTGTACGCGGCGATCGCTAACGAAAGATTGCATGCCTCAACAGAGCAACGTCAGCGGGCAGCAGCGTACAGCAGAGGGCGGTTGTAAGCAGGGGCAACCCGGAACCCATGGACTGGTTCGCGTGTCCGCCGGCGAACTACTCGGCAGGACCCACGAGGAGTTGGTGCTCCTGCTGATCCAGCTACGCCGGCAGAACGCCACCATCTACAAAGCGATGGAGACATGCCACATGGAGATCGAGGCACAGGTCCGGAGACATTTTCAGAAATCTTCTTCCAATGAATAGAGAGAGAGAAAGAGAGCCGTCTTGGGGATGATGATGGATGCAGCTTGCGTCTGTGCTGTTTCGTCGTTGATGTCGTTTTTGTCCTGCAGATATGTTATCTGTCATAGAATCGTTTTGATGTTTGAAATGCTTTGAGGAAGTCTTGTCTATAGACGGAGCTTTTTATACGAGATTATTTTTTTGTTTGTTTTGTTGTAGGTTAATTGTTTGTGACTCTCTGTTAAGGTAGGCCGAATATTTTGTTTTATTTTATAATATATCTTTACATAGGACTGTGTGTTGTTGGTACAAAAAATATTCGCACACTGCTGTATTTATTTTTCCATGGAAATATTAATCGATTTGGTTTGCACATATTATATTTCTTTTTATGTGGAAATAAAACGCAGAATTTAATTAAAAAATATTTTTTGTATCCACTGAAGGGGAAATAAAATATTGGATATAATTTGAATCACAGGAAATATAAATACCGAGTTACATGTAGGATGTAATATGATATGTGGGACTCTGTTCAAGGACGGGCTCACACACGAAAACAGTAAACATAAAAATATTCCTACAAATATGCTACATTTTATTTCACTTCATTTCATAGCTTTTACTTATATTCATTAAAATAACCACTATGCTCGGTTCAGACATATGTTTATATGGACAGTTTCAATTACTTTTTATCATGTTACATTTTACATAGCAAAATATTCACCGATATTTCCATGTTATAATATAAAAATTAAAGAAAAGAAGCTCCATCTTGAACAACACTTTTTCAATTCACATTGTTAAACAAATTTTTAATCAACAATTGCCATTAAATTTTGATCCTACCAAAAATTCGTTAGGAAAAATAAGATGGGTTGTGGAACTTCATGAAAGCTATTTAAAGGTATTCCATGGTTCGAGAAGGATGTTTTCACGGGGACATTGACAGATGGTCTCGATCGAGGATCCTGTTATCCACGTGAAAAATGCCGTAGTTCGTGGCGAAGAACCGGTTTCAAGGACACGATTCGAGTGAACGTCATTAGAATAGGAACTTTCTTCTAGAAAAGAATCTCGATTTTTTCGACCCTTTATTCTCCCATCCGTGTCAGGCAGTTCGCTTTTAGTGTGCCCCTGGTGCAACTAGTTGATGCCCTAAGGAGAGGTCAAAGGTTAAGCGAATGAAATTCTGTTGTTTTCCCGCGAGTTTATACCCGAGTTCCTCTCGATATTGCTTTCTATCGGTGAATAAATTTGAAACAGACATTTTCACCATTTTTTCATTTGATATTTGAATTTTTCAAACTGTTACTGAAATTACTATATCTTTGATCTCTTTCTTTGGATATACAGACTGTTTTGAAAACATTGGTCAAAAGTGCAGTATCGATATTCAAAGTATGTTTATCATCAAAATAGAGGTTAGCGTATTGTATAACGCTCAGATAAAATAATATGTCACTAAAGTAGATACAGACTGTACGAGAGTTTACAAACCTCCTTAATATTAGCACAGAAACTACCAAGTAACTTCAACCAGTGCAATCCACTATATCCTACTTATCACACGTTCCTCCAATCCATAACCACTTAAATCGCTGTTTTACGTAATACCCACAATCGCCCAAGACTCGTTCACTAAACAAGTTTCACTCGACTCGAGTTCAACGCCAGAGGTGTTGACGCACATTTTCGAAACAGTCTGTATATATTCCATCTAAACGTATGGATGTTTCCTATCGCCGGAAAGTCCACTAACTATGTATTCCCCTTCTGTCACCGTTCACATTGCATCGACTGTATCGTTTAGCCGCCAGAAACGTTATTACGTTTCCCGCGTGAACACGAAAGTCCAATCGACTCCGCGTTATTCCCTTTACCGTGTGCACGCCCCCTAGAGTCGTATTAAAAGTTCGAACGCGCTGGACCACTCGTGTCATCCTGCTTTTTCCTCATCGTCCCGTTGTTAGCGAAACTGCACATAGGGAATGCTCGATAAATTTGACGAAACCTACGATAGAGCGGGACAGTGTTTTCAGTTTACACGTCGTGTACGGTTTTTAGGTAATTTACGAAGTTTCAATCTCTTTATGCGCTGGTCGTGGATGTTTCGTGAATTAGTGGTGTCGAGTGAAAGGAGACGTGTCGATGTTATGTTGTCACGTGTAAGAACTATGACATATGTTTAGAGAATTGTCTCGTTCCTAGTGGTCTTCTATATTTTATCGTTTTTATGGGGTTCGAGTCATAAGTAATGTTCGTTTCTCTTTTTCCTGGAATTCTTTCACGAATGTAGACATTGTTTTGAAATACGATACATTGGTTTGGAAATTTTTTGCGAACGAAACCTATGAGAATTTGAACTTCGTATGTATACAGGGTGTCTCAAGTTTTCCTACCAAATATGTTTAACAAGCAATCAATGTTTTCATTACTTAGAAGAATAATTGTAGTTCGTTGTTATTAATATTCAAGAAATTATTGTTTTGCACCATTAACACATAGCACAAAAACTACACGTGACGTTATTTATGACTTAACCAAAAACTGCGCAAAATCATTCGCTAGTCTGTGAGAATGCTGATTTTCTTAGTCACTTTTTGCACTTGATCGTTATTATAGTTGATTTTCATTGTAGTTTCACGAACACTAGCACCTTTTTTCAATGTGTTTTTATTTAAGACGATTTCTTCAACGATTGTATCTTGTATCATACCGGTCTCTTCGATTTGTTTGAACTCAAGAAAAGCAGAATCGAAATTTCTGGTAAAGTAACAGACAATTCTATGGTAGAATGTTAGTTACACGAGTCGTTGTAAACGCAGTGTTGACGTTTCGAGGATGTTTCGTGTGTTCGTTGAATTTAAACGCTACAAGGATCTCGATGGAAGCTGGATGCACTAACCTCAGGATAGGAACGTGTATCATTAGGTGGAGAGATCGATAGACAACGTCCAGCGTGGAAATTTCCCCGGTGTCGCGTTTAAAGTGGCGATATTTTGTGACCCACAGGCTAGATTGGCGGAGCTCGATACACCGCGACGGCTGGAGAATCTTCAGAAGCTCGAGGAATTGGAGAAACACCTGATGGATCTCGAGAAGCAAGTAAGTCACTCTCTCTTTTTAATTCTCACTGTCAGTACGTCTTCGTTAACCAGGTGAAAATTCGCGATTTCTTATATTTATTTTATATTTGAAGAAAGTATAGCCGAGTGAAGAAAATATGTATATTAAATACTTCTCATTTTTTTTACGTATGGAAAAGTTGAAAATATCATTTTTTTATTTCTTCTTTACACTTATTTAAGAAAAAAAATTTATTTTAAATTTAATTATATAATTAAAAAATCTCAAAAAATTCCCTGATGTATGGTCTAGAAATAAACTGTAACAAAACCTAATTTGCTAACAATTCTTTGTTTTGCGAAATAAATTAAGAATCGTCACACCAGTCTGCTTACTTATTCGACTGTCCCTTTCCAAGTCATTTAACAATTTTAAAGACAAAAGTCACCGAAGACCAATACAAAGTAAAAAGTTCTAAAACAAATTAGTAAGAAAATTCGTTTAACTATTCCGTCCAACTTGTCAAGACGGGTTTTTCGAGCGTAGCCTGGTTAATTAAGAAACTTCGTGGCAAGATGGCGGTTGAAGTTAGAAATTCAACGCGATTCGTGTACACTTTGTCGCGAAGCACGAGAAGGGCAAACCGCTGGTGAACCTTGTGGACAATATGGTGAAGTTGGGCTCCTTGTACAATCGCAACATTGCCAATGGGACCAGCAGTGTCACTGGCTCGCGACACGATCTAACACACGACAACTCTAGGGATCATCGTTTAGAATTCAACCAGAAAGTGCAGGAACAACGTTTACTAGCAGAGGAACGTAGAGACTGGGATAGGTTGAGCCCAGACCATGGACAGTTGCAGGTATTTATTTTTGACAAATATATCGACAAATATTTATATATATATATCGTTACATTATTGACATATCAAGTATACACTACATGACGCTTCGTGATGAACTGGCTTTTGCCAGGCGACCCGATATCCTTATATAACCTCTGATGCCAGAAAAATGAAGGCAAGAGACGCATAAGTGCCATCTGTTATCATTCGCGTGAAATAACTAATTATTGTTGGCATATATCGATTTCTTCATCCAACAATTTTATATTATAATTATTTTTTAATCAGTTTTTTGATAAGTATTGCTTTGTGTCAAATATTTTTGTACAATTATTATTAATGTGTCAACTATCGGAACAAAATATGACAGTCATATTATTATGTAAATATGGCAAACGATATGTCAAGTAGCGCTTCAAATCGCATAAATTCAGAACTTTCCAATCGTGAAAATCAATTGAGAGAGTGATTATTCGCCAATAAACCCAAAAGATTGACGTGCTTGAAATGTCACTTGATTAATAACCGATTATTAATGCATTATGTCTGCAAATTGTATACATGCAAACATAATGGAAATTGGTTTTTAATTGTTTCAAGTGACATTATTACACGCATTGATTTCCAATGTGCTTGTTTTCATAACATTAAAAAAATTAATCAAGACCTACCCTTCATAAATAAACATCATGAAAACAGCTCTCATACCAAGAAACTGACTATTGCGTGCGTCCACGACAAAGTATCTGAGAAACTCATCGCAACCCTCGCTACACTCCACCAAGAGGTTACTTTACGGAACAATGTTGCCACTCGATGTCGAGTTCCCGCGTTTTCTAGCCTCGACGCGTGACCGTGCCCCCTTGGTCTCGTAACAAATACCGCGGAGAAACGGTGTTTCGGTGTTCTGGGAACATTGGCTCCCTCACGGAGAGCATTACGAACTATTAAACAGAGAGGCAAGATAGAACATTCGTAGAAATGGGAGTTTTCATTAAAAATACATTTTTCACGTTAATTAAGAAATTGGAAGTAGGAGAAAAAAACTTGCCGATTCGTAATTCTCAATATTCACTTAGTCACGACAGTTGAGAATTTTATCACTATCACGATGAAATTACAAGTTTTTTCTACATAAACTTTTTTATTATTTTCAAAGCGTTAGAGTGGATGGAATACTCACGTATTATGCAACAATCTCTACATCAGGAATTATTTCAGCCTTTGTCCACGCCCAGAGTAATAAATACTCGACGGCGTACGCATTTCGCTCAAATTGCATCGCGAATAAATACAAATTATCCGCACTGGCTCTCATAACGGTGCATAATACCAACGTGAAAATGCCAAAGGGGGGAAAAACACGCGGGAAAGTTGCTCGTGTACAGTTAAATCCTTTGTCGTGTGTTGCGCGACGCGTGCAATAAAACATGAAAAGACGCGTCGAACCCAACTCGATGAAACATTATATTAAAAACCGCGAGTGCACGTGGTATGCAGGCCGTGGATTTTTTTTCGTCTCTCAATATTATGACAGCGGCGAGCGTCGGCTCGTTCTAGCGGAATCGCGATTCCTGTTGAAACACGACTCCCCTGGGCCTGGGAGGTTGGAAGGCGAAAGACGTCAAGGTTAACTGAAAGACTGCGTTGATTCTGTGTCGTAGGCCAAGGTGCAGCAGCTCTACAAACTGGATCGCCTGCTGCAGGAGGAATCCGGAACACTTCACAGTCTTCAGCAGAACAAGGCAAGTAGGGTAATGCGATCCGCTGCAGAGAAAACGCGCGCGTGTTGTCTGTTATGTTTTTTTTTTTTTTTTTTGGACTAGGGTTGTTCTTTATTTACGTTCGTGTGAACTGTCGACGATAGAGTACCGAAGAATTTGACATGTGTGTTATTGAACGGTTATGTATAGTTCGAAAGTGGAGAGTTAGTGGAATTAGAACTATGATGTAACGTAATGTAACACTGGCGTACAGTCAAACTGTGTAAAGTTGCTTAATAGTGGAATTGAGGGAAATGCTTACGCTTTGTAGCAGATCGTAGAAAATGGTAAATTAGATTAATTTCAAAATTAAACAATGTCCATTTTTTTCATTTCTTTCTTTATTTGTTAAGAGAGAAGGTTTCTTATGTTTATACACTAGGTGTCGGAATACTTTCGAACGATAGTATTCCTAAAAAAAAGTGTCGAAGCATTTTATCATAAAATTTCTGTCAGAATAACGTGAAACGACTCGATTGAAAAAGAAAATCTACGCAATATAGTTTCTACAATTCGACCATCAAGTTCTAGTATCCATTTCGTCAAATATTCGATTGAACACGTACGATTTCTTATGACTTTCCCCGTTCGACTATCGTATTCGATCGATGAATTATTTTTACCTCCGCCGTGTCTCTTTTCCGTCTGTGAGCCAGTCCAAGCCAGTTTTCCAGCGAATTGAACCCCAGTGATTTCGATTTTCAGGAGATTTTGGAAAAAGCTCTGGGCGGTCTCCGGCACAAACTGCAAGGCAGTAGGAGCAATTTGGCGGAAGCAGAGAGATACAGAAAGCAGCAGCTTTTGCTGGAGAGAGAGCTGAGCAGAGTGAGAGTGTTGCTGGCGCACAACTCCAAGGTAAAAGATCCGAAACGTTTTCGAGGAGCTTTCGAATAGTAGTTTGCTACTGATCGATTGAAAAGAGGAGACATTCGATACGAAACGTGACAACCTTATTCGCTTATTCAAGAAGCAAAGAAAGCTTTGAGAATTTACATCGATCTGAAGATTTTTTCGAATATTTGAAAAATTGTGGATTCGAAATATTTTGCAAAATTTTTCAATTTCAAAATTTTCTAATAGTTTAACTTGACAGTTTTCTAAAATGACGATAAGAGAAATTCGATTCAATTTTCTACTTGAAGTTACTTTGAAACAAATTTTCAAAATTCTACCCGTATTTCTCGCGTCTCCAGGTAGACATAACCTCTTAAAGCTTGAACAACAGATGCTGCTTGATCGCTACCAAC